ATCTCAAAGCAGCACATCACTAATGAATGGTAGGAGTCCTTTAAACCGAGTGAAAAATCATTTTCAGGATTCTAGAAAAATCCCTTCTCGACCTTTATCAAAGAAACTTTTTACGCGTCTGAATATTATGAGATGAGCAGGAATTCGTAACAATGAAGAGAGTTAGGAGATCGTTGAATGAAAAGTCAGAAAAAGAGTAGCGTTATTCATTCCATTCGAATAGAAAGCAAGGAAATTGAGGTTGCCCTGAAAATAGAATGATTTCAGGAAGAAGTGGATGTGTCTGTGTCTTTGGAATGGGTGGATGCGTTTCTCTACGTCAGACAGAGGTTTACGGATGACTTGACGACTGCTTTGCCATAAACATTTTTCAGACGGTCATATATGTTTCATGCGGTCGTCAACGACGTCGGCAAATGAGCATGAATCCGTAAGGACAGGAATGACTTAGGGAGCGATGAACGTACGCGATAATGAGATTCATCACCTGGCGTTGAGCACATGTTCGTCAAATGACATGGAAATTAGCACTGCTTGAGATAGAAGACGACATAATTGTATACAAGGAAAAAGGGCATTCTGAAAAGCAACCACTTAGAATGAGAAACACCTGTCCTTTAATTATCAGAATAGATAAAAAGAGAGATAGATAAAAATGCTAATTCGATGGCATTTTCATTCCCAGTTAAAAAGTGATTTCAGAAAATAAGCACAGTTACATCGCAAAATTTTTAACAGAAGACAATCGAAGCCGATAAACAAGTGAATGCAGCACTTGAGAGAGACAGGAAGGAGTTGTTGCTGCTCCAAATCCTGATTAGCCGCTTCTCCGCGGTAGGTTCTAGATGCTGCTTACGAGCGGGGACTGGCACGAATGGGCAGTCAATGTCTAATGGCCTGCTGCTTTCGGTGGGGTGCAATTACTGCCGAACCCCATCATAATGTAGCAACCCAGCTCAATTGAATTCAGATCGTGTCCACACATCGACAACAGAAAAGAGCTGTAGACGAACACCGTGATCGAAGTGCGACGTGTACAATACGTGAAACACCTACTGTCGGCGTCATGAATTCTTTATGCTTACTTAGCGTTGGATAAAATTGAAGCGACGACGCTTCCTACTTCTATTCTTCTTTCGCTTTCCTCTTATATACAAGAATAATTTTTATTTTGAGTGCTGCAAAAGTGCAAGCCGTATTTGAACGGTGCATTTTTCGCGTTCGAAGTGGTTTTTTTTAAATTACATGTGGGACGCCAAGGACGTCTGCCCTTTAAACAATCACTAGGCTCTTTTCTTAGTGTAGAAAACATGAACGAGAAGAAGATTTATTCAGAACAAATAATGGACCACGAGAAACCACTTCATCTAAATACTGAAGGATTTCGTCTTAGGTATAGAACAATTTCGCAGAGAAAAGCTCACCTTTTGCGTAAAGATCCAATATCGTTATTCCGTTAAAGTTCGCGCCAGATATTTTCCCATCAAACGGATCGATAATTTTTAACGTGTTTCGTCGACTCCTAAATGTCTCTTTTATTCATTACCCTGCTTGCTATGAAACTACTAAATTAAGTTCTCGGGTAAGTGTAAAAATGCGATAGTGTAATAGCAGAAGATATAATGAAGGATAAAGGATAAAGGATAAAGCACCCGGCGTTGATCACTGACTGAGAGATGTGCCATGCATTCGACTTTATTAAGCAACGCGTGAAGGTGATTGAATGCATATCTGCCTTTTACAATGACTCGCGGTGGCCTATCGACGTATCGAGCAGGTATTCCATCCTCCCATACATGTCTGGTACCAATTTGCCAACCCCGAAAGGATGGAAGGCTTGGTGGGCCATGGGCACGGGGATAAATTTCACGTATGTCTTGCGGGGCACCTCCGACTGCTTCGCCATAAGTGCCCAAAGACAAAAGATATGATATAACATATGAAGTCGTGAAAACTTTCTCAATAATAAAAAATATCCAGTTATGGCTATACGACGCTTTAAAATAATCAGCACTTTTTTCTTCTAGTTGAAGCAAATAAGCATTCTCAGGTGATAATCGACCGCCGCGGTGTATTATAGTATTTGGCCGAACCATTCCAGTGGAAAAGCGGGTTTATAGACCGGTTGAAAACAATTGTTTTAAACACTCCCAGTTTGATTACCCTATGATAATTCTTAGTCGCTGTGAGTTAATAGTTGCATTTTTTCTACTCACCAATTTTGTATTTCCCGAGACCGACTTTCTATTAAACTAGGCATTGATTGGTAATTCGATGTTTCCTTCAATAAAAAGACACGAGGCTGGTATTGTAGAATTTGTTAGAATACAATAGCTGATGTCTCGGCAGTTTCGCCTTCTTCAGAGGCGTTTATTCGTTGCTAGTATTTCAATCAGTTGGTGGATAGCAGGGCGAGAACTGTCTGTGCGGCTGCTATTCACCAACTAATTGAAATACTTACAACGAATAAAAGGCTCTGAAGAAGGCGAAACCGCCGAAACGTCAGTTACTGTATTCTAATAAATTCTACAATACCAGCCTCGTGTCTGTTTATTGAAGAAAAACAGCGAGTTCAGCATTCTTTGGTGGAATGGTTATCACCACCTATCGGAAACACTCCCAAGATTTCGTTTCTGCTAATCGTTTTTTCTATGAACTCAGACAAACTTCCCTTAACGGTCAATGTCTCATTGTGCTAAGGTGTGCTTCTAGGTAACGACCTCAGACATAAAAACGGCGTTCCTCTCCATGCGAATCCTCCTAAGCTGACAACGTGCTCAACATTTCCGTCAGCATGTTTAGCAACGAGCAAACCGATGCTATAACACACCACGAAGAGCTACCAGTGGATACTTTTCTTGCCAAAAACAGTAGAAATGAATAAAGGAAAGACTAAAAACTAAAAGTGCAATGAATTTCGTGTTCATCGGACAAGCCAGACTTGTTAATCAGCTCTGGGGCAAATGGATGAATGGAGATTTCAGTGATGCCTGCTTGAGGTAAGCCATGGTTTAATAAGAACACAAATGATGCATATATATGATTGAATGCCTGCAAAAATGTGCTCATTTCTTCACACTTTGATATCTTTCAACTTTACTGCATATTGTGCAGCGCAATGGTCGGAGGCGCCCTTCATTACACGCGGGATCGATCCTTGCGTCCAAGGCTCATCAAGCCTTCCATCCCTAAGGGGTGGGTGCGAGTCATTGCTTGCAAATTGGTACCAAATTTGTCTGGGAGAAAAGCATCACTGGCTCGATACATCGGTAGACCAGCGCGAAACATTCTAAAGATAAGATATGCATTCAATCATCTCCAGCGATGCTTAATGAAGGAAAATCTATGACGAATCCCTCAGAGAATGACCAACGGCGAGAGCTTTAGAGCTTTTAATGCAAAGTGGTATATTTGCAAGTGCATTTCCAAGTTCCGTCAGTTACTTGCCAGATCACTGGTTTTTAGTCACATCTCAAAGTCGTCATGTTGTTGAGTTGTTTATTGCACTCCAAACAAAGGACTTGGCCCATTGAGGAAATAATTTCCACAGAACAAGCTGCTAGCAAGGAAATGGGTGCAAACGATGATGTTCGATGGTAACTAGACGGTAATGAGAAATAAGAAAATTTAAACGGTCTGAGCTACCTGGAACCACCCTTTATCAAATAAATTGCCTACCGTCGGGTTATTGAATCGATGTGTCTTGAGTTAAGAGCAGCTCCCAGAGACACTCTCCACTGCATATTCAGTGTCACGAGCTCATCTAATCCTAAACAAATTTTTTATCAAATTTTTCTGCTTTTTTTCGGGTTTTTCAGTTTAAAAAAAAGCTGTATAATTTTCCGTATACTCCGAACTCAGGAATCATCATCGACAGCCTGGAAATATTTCAGCGATCTCTTCTAACTCAATCACAGACCTTTCGGCCGATATCTGATTCCTGGTTTCCCGTCAATTTGTAGCGTCACATTCGCTTCATTTCGATGAATTCTGTAATCAGTCGCGATTTAGTATAAATTCCAAGCCCAAGAAACTAATCGATAGATCGCTTTCTAAGTAATTTTTCCGCGAAAAAAAGCAAAGGAAATCAGTGCTCCGAATTTTCGCTTTTTTAAAATGGCCTTCTTTAAAAGAATTTACTTCAACCAAACCACCATATTTGGATACTCGGTTACCGTGCTTCATCAACGGTAAGTAATATCACTCTGATCTCACCACCAGGTTCTCATGGCTGGAATAATATTCCACTTTTCCAAACATTCAAATAATTCGAACATTACTTCGTTTTAGTAAATTGAGCGCTTTTCAAATCTCGCAGAACACCCAGAATCTCTTGGGTCCTTGGAGCACATTTCTCCATGTTTATCCCACATAGATTTCCTTGAAGTCATAGTATCACAAGAACGAGAAGACCACTGTTTAATTTTTTGGCTTTCATCAAACAGCTATATTATTTGAAATAGATGTAGACCTCAGGGCGCTTGTGGCGCAGTGGTCGGAGGCACCCTGCGATAGACATGGGATCGATTGCGGCGTGCCCGACCCACCAAGCCTTCCATCTCTTTGAGGTCGGCAAATTGGTACCAGACTTGTCTGGGATGGTAGCAGCACTGGCTCTATACATCGGTAGGCCACCGCCAGTCAATTTAAAGGCCAAATATGCATCTATTCAAACGATTCTTAGTGTAGTCGAATGCACGGAGCATCTCTAAGGGATTGTTCAACGCCGAGAGCTTTATCATTTAACACTCTTCTGACTGTACACCAAGAAGTCACGCGAAAGCATAAAAATAAAAGTGCCATCTTATTGTCTGTGTAACTTAATCACATTTGTTTTCGCCTTCTTACTATTCGTGTAATTTCACGGCATTTTCTTGTCAATGTTCTTGCATTCCTCATGAGGCGACGCGGCGTTGTGATATTTCAGCACTCTAATAGAAATTCCGACGTTATGCTTTTTGAAAGTTTTAGTTCTGACCTTTCAGAACTCCATGTAACCCTCACCTGATTGTATGCATCTTGTCGTCATTCAGCTTGTGAGTATAATGTCCGAAATGGTGTTCCCTACTTCCCAGATTGTACTTAATCTGTAGGAATCCATTGTCCTGTCAGAACGTGAATTTTCTCATGTAATTCACCCTATAGGGAAATCGAAAAATTAAGTTTTACCAAGTACACTGTAAAATAGTCCTGGTCTACGGCGCAGTCGACTGACAGCAGCACTCCGGATGGACGAGCCGTATTGAATGCGAAGAGCATATAGTCTCTGGAGGTTGAAGGGCGATCAGCCTTCGGATATTCGAAGAAAATCGTCGACGGAGCAGAGAATAGCACGGTAGTGGCTACTACAATGATTTCGAGAATTTCGAATCTTTGTTTTCTCTATGAATGGCTACTATACAATTTATTATAGTGCCACAGCCTTTTATCATCACAAAGATGGTACTAGAAAACTTACAAAACTTAATAATTACGTATTTTTATAAATGAAAAGCTACAATCCGTTTCAAATAAAATCGCATTCAATCTCAAAGCTCTGTGTTGTGATTCTGGGAAGATCGCCTTTGCAAACAAACTGGCGTCCAGTGAGGCTAATGACGGTACGGGTGGAAAAGCGACCTATCGCCAATCTTATGGAAGGAGATCGAGAATAACATAAAGAATGTTTCCGCTTTCAATACCATTCGAAGCAAAAAAACCAGTTAAAAAAATAATGGACAATAGATAAATACTAGACAGCTGCTTCAAGAATTTATTTGACAATCCAGTTGTTCCCGATGGAATAGCGACCGCTGTATGGCTGTCCATCCTCTGTTTCGCGCAAAAACTAACCATCTTGACATCGGTCGCCAGCATGAGCCGTCAAAGTGCAGTCACATCGAATCGAATCCCACTGCTGTATGCATCGTCCGCCATTCGAGCATGCCATAGGGGAACAACGAGCGACTGGTCCTGGAGTGAAAAGACGCTGATTTTGTGCATACAGTAGCCCTCTTAATAAGTAAGAAAAACATCTAAGCAGTTTTATTAGATCGACGACAGTGGACATGTAAGTTTTAGACGTCCCGCCTAATTTACAATTTTTGTTTTGAGATGCGCACGTAATATGAAGCGACTGAGCTGTTCGTGTCATTCAGTTTTTTAACTTCTATGAAATCTTTGGAAAAATTAAACCATGCTTTATCTTCATAGTATTATTTTTGGCATAACAACGAAAGCCACCTGACAAAATAGTGATTTTCTTTTCTTTTACTCGATCGAAAACAGTCGAAAATCTTTAGTAAAAAGTACTGGGATTCACATAATGTCGGTAGACATCTCAGATCCGATAAAATTACGAACGACAAGACATTAGGCGTTAAATAATTCCTGGACGATTAGCCATCCATTCTATTCCATTAATCACCGTGTAGGTGAGTGAATGCATTGACTGGCCTTACAATTACTTCTAAAGTCGTAGCGGTGGAACTAGTCAGTGTTTTAATCTTCTAAAAAATCTCTGTATCATTTGGTAAATCTGCGGAAATGTGGGCCCAGCTTAAACCTGAACCATGGATCCAACCAATGAGCCGGTTTATATTGTAGGATATCTTCAGCCGTTGTGCTATAAGCGTCTAACCGGTTCGATATGTCACCATATGCAGGACGTCGAATCAACGTACCCGAGCATCCACGAACAACTTCCATCTTTGCGACACAGTCATCGATAATGTCGATGGCCTGATCGTTGATTCGAATTGATGCTAAACATCCTCGAAATCCACTACGAAGCAGCGGAGCATACAACGGTAAGCCTCCTGAAGTACCCACCCGTACCTTATAACCACGAAGAAAATCAGAACTCAGTCTCACCGAAAGCGACCACGTTACCCAGCTGCGGTTGTAGTCGGTTGGCCGAAATCGCAGTCGTGTTGTCAACGAGTAGTGTGTGCAGCTTACTGCGTTCCTCCTAAAAATCAACATGAGTTAGGAGTCGTTGAAATCACCATGTCCCAATTGAATTCTGTCCATATGGAGCGAAAATCTTAGTTCTAAAACATTTATGCGTAATAGCTTACCAACGGTTTACCACCTCGTCGTGGGTAGGAGGTGTTCCTGGGTGTCGGGCTACTATGTACAGCGCGGATTCGTCCTCCCGGCAGGGTTTTCTACGCTAAGAAGGAGTCAGAAGTTTCCATCGGGAATCCTAGCTAGGAGTAAACCAATTCCAGGATCTACCACCGTCTTGGTATGAAACCAGTCGCATGGTGGCAAATCTCCTCCTGGTCCACGAAGACGGGAAAGTCCTTCTGCCTGTGGTGGTGACGACCTAGGGCAGACTTTGGCCAGGTCAGAACTCCAGGGAACCACAGTGGTTGAACCAACAAAACTCCGAAAAAACAAAAATTATGCCGAGGACCGTACAACCAGTGAAAACGGGCCATCTAAGCATTTAAGTATGCACAACAATAAAACAGTAGGAAGTCGAACAATGTTCAAAATAAAAAATGATCTGTTCTATATCCGCATGTTTCAACTTTAAAATGTCAGAATGTCTATGCATGAATACATTTTTCTTTGTTCATTTTAGCCTTCATGACCAGTACCTGATAGAAGAGAAGAGTGTGCCATCGCATGTCGCTCAAATGCTGCCGATTCGCTAACGGTGGCGTCTCGATCAACAATTCTGCTGCATCTCTTTCCTTGTAGGATAATCGTACCCTAAACAGACGTCTCGTTCCGAAAAAAAATTAACTAACTAATTGATCAGAAATGACCATTTGTTTTCTTCCAATGGTTTACCGCTTCATCGCTTTGAAACTTGTTCCAGGATATGGAACAATTATGCCTACTGGTAACAATTCATTCATTAGCAGGATCACCAAATCCAAGAAAGGATTCGAAATTTCCGTTCGGATGTTCAGGTAAGAGCAAACTAATGCAAACATCTACCTTCAGTCATAATGTCCCCGCCTACCTTTAGCGACCTAGAGCCAAGTTGTAGCTCCAGCACTCATCATATAGGAATAAAGTTTGCTGATACCGCTAGAGTTACTCGATGACCAAAGGACTTCCAGCTGATCCAGATTATTTTGATGGTGTAAGTTCATGACGCGGTGGCGGATAGCAGAGCGGTCTGGTGCAGCTTAGTAGGAGTAGGGCCGTGGTTCCACTCTATTCCAGACTCAGTAAGCCTCCCTTCCCTCAAGGATCGGAAAATCGGCATCAGACTAGTTTGGGATTAGTTGACTCCTCTGATTCAGAAAAGATGGCGCCTGCTTGCGGTGAGGATCTGGTAACGCCCTATTATGGCTGACACAGAATTGGAGGGATCAATCGGGTCGATTAGCATTTAACGACGTTTGTGGGACCGATGCAAATGCCAAAGCAGAAGTCAAGCTCGCAAATCCAAAGGCTTTTGCGGATGCCGGATGAGACGAAGCGAATAGAATGCAAGGTATACTGCGAACAGCGCAATATATACGAGTTGAGGTGGTGCGAAAAAAAGACAGTTAAAAAAATCATGATGACACGCTCTCTGCGCCATTGTAACGAAATTGTTCTTTTAATAATACACTAAAGTTAATCCAAATATTAAGATATGGGGATTACTATTGTCGCCAATGACCCACCTAGCGTTGATTAGTTCGACCAGTAGCGAGGTATTCTTTTCAATAGAATATGAGGCAAATAGTAAGGAATTTCTGATGAGCGTTTGAAATTTGAAAGACACTCGAAGAGGACCCGTAAGTGAAGAGGCCTGCAATGTGCTGCTGAGATGCAACTCGGTTAAAACAACGACGAATAACTGAGCTTAAACCGACTCGCCATTCTCTGTGACAGTACTGCATAGCCAGCTGTGTTGATGAACGACACCGACATACCTTTCAGTTTTCTGAAAATTTGATCCAGGTTTATAAAGTTGTAAGTAACGGCTGAAGAGTGGTAGTACAATGCATTTAATGGATTCTTCTGTTTATAAACAGAAAAAAATAAAAACTTGGATATACGGAAAGAATACGATCGAAAAATTCTTGGGGATTCCTGTGCGATTTCTAGTGGAGTTCACCAAAAATAAATCCCAAGAGCCAAAATGTAGGAGGAGATAAGTAGAATAGCAAGTATTTCCTAGAATATCAAGGAATTGTGCCAAAAGTCGTCCAAAAAACTTCCCATTACTTCGGAAACTATCGGAACCTCGAAGAACAAACAACCAGAGCGTCTTACTCAAAGCACGAAGATTCCTCATGAGTGATGCCAGCAGCTTCGAAGGAAAACTTCACTATTCTATAGAGTTATTTGCATCGATATAAAATTTCTCTACATTGTTTTTCTTTTGTTTTAAGCAGGTCTAGATTGCCTTCCACTGGCTTGTATCGTGTAATAAGTGAATTCATCTCACACATTTCTTTGTCCTTTGCTTTCTTTACTCATTTTCCCTTCACGCTTCCGACGTTCCAAGAGATCGATGTCATTGAACGTCTACAAAACAAAGCATCTACAACACCCACTGAAGTTCATCTTTCTTAAAAAGTACTCGATTTCACTTACAAACAGCAAACCTCGAACGGATACGAGCAGTTTACAGCTAATATTTAATTAGATATGATGAGTCCAGCTGCACTACATACCATTCGCGAAAGTGATCCTCGAAACGGTTGCGGAAGGCTTTCGTTGCTCTTCGTGAATCCAAGGCCACACGAAATCTCGTTAATTTTCAGTACCACCGAGGAAGGTAAGTAATCTGAAAGTAATCATGTAAGGCAACATAATAGAACGTATAAGCTGGAGGCGTAGAAGAATGAAGTTCAAACATAAAAGCAATTTTAAGAGAGCGATAAAGAGCGCACGACTAAAAACTTAGTACTTTAAGTAAACAAGTAATTTTTAACTCAACAGCAAAATACCTTAAAAACGCCTCACTCTATCGCCTTTTTCTGAGAAGGAATTTAGAGGTCAACACGGAAAACTGAACGCTAGAATGGCTCAAAGTGGTAAACACGGCATGTATGAAACCATTAGTAGTTATGCAAAATAAAATTGAATTACCAAGATGTCTCGCCTTATACTTAAAGAATAAAGGATTACACTTTCGGCGTTGATCAATCCCTTAGGAGGGATGCGCATTCGACCTCATTAAGGATCGTTTGGAGGTGACTGAATGCATACTCGCGGTGACCTAAACATGTATCGAACCAGTGTTGTTATCCTCTCAGACAAGTCTAGTACCAATTTGCCGACCCTGGAGGGATGGAAGGCTTGGTGAGCCAGAAGCACTGGAGTCGATCTCACGTGTACTGCACGACGCCTCCAACCACTGCGCCACACGCACCCATTGCGCCTTATACTTACCTATGAAAAGTCAAAATGTTTTATCCACTGCTGGTCTGCCCTCTATCAAGTTCTCAAAGTTCAAGGCTAGATTCATCATTAGCAAGGTAAAGGGGCCCACTGATAGATTAGCTTCATTTGTAAGTCTAATTCTCGCTCATTTGTTGAAGCAGATCCCAGTCCATCTCACGAATACCCATATGTTCATGGATTGTCTACGTACGGCGCGTGTTAACACCACATACGTGATGGAGTCCTTCGGTGTTATCGGCCTTTATGCTAACGTGTCGTTTGACTCCGTTAAGTAAGCTATCCTCGAACTCCTTATGCAATCCAGTGGTCAATAAACATGTATAACTTCTTGATTCAGCAATTTACGGTTCTCTTAAAGAACTGCGTAAACTGCTTAACCTTCACATGTTCCGGAAAATGCTACGTACAAATTAGAGGGCTGGATACGGGACAACGACTGAGACCATGTCTTTTCTAATAGCTCAGTGCTTAAAGTGGAAGCAGCAGTAATCGATCTCCAGCCACTACTCTACTGTAGATATACAGTTTTTGTCGTTGTCATGTCATGTCGTTGTTTTACAGTTGTCATCTTCTCCGCATAAAACGATGGAAAAATGTTTCCAATTGCCAAATTTACAGTTAGTGTACATTAAGTTTACACAACAAAAATCGAAGGAGAACTGGTTTTCATTTCTGAACGTTCAAATTAACCTATCCGGAAACAGATTCATCATCACTTGGTACCGAAAGCCAACTAACAAAGATATACTGCTCGTTCATTACCTCTCCTCTCAACCCTCACAAACGCTTGTATGAAACATTTTCCGAACAGCCACCAGTGTCTGCACAGGAAGAGAGCAGAAGGAGGAATCCCGGAAATTGGTGGGCCAGTAGCCATTTCCAATGGTTACGAAACACTAGGTCGTCGGATACGTGTTTAGGAAATACAACGCCTCCAAACGATAATTCTAATGGGAATAAGGTTGCGTTTATTCTGCCCTTCATTTCCAACGAGATAAGTGCAAGAATGAAACGCAGCCTGAAAAGGGTGGCTTTGAAAATTCGGTAACAGCGAATCCTGACTAAATTGATTGAGTGCTTGGGATTTCTCCAACTACTCTCAGACAGCGCATCGGATACAGAGACATGGCGAATGTTTTAAAGTAAAAGTCACTATCCTTGCATAGAAATCTAAAATATTGGCGGGTCAGACCCTTACAGATATTTGGCAGATTTCAAAATGAACCACAACAAAGAGTTATGATCACGCGTGACCTCGCGCCATACATCACGCTGATTTTTTACCTGACCCAGGCACATACCTCGCCCATGTAACACTTTAAACGGCCATTCTCCATTAAATAATTAAAAGACTTACGAAGAACAAAACGTTTGAAAAAAGCTGTTTAAAAGAAACTGCTTGTTGAAAATTTTTGTATTGACTTTTATCTGCTAAGGCTATGAAAGTGTTTGGCTGAGTGGATTGCATTCCGATTTGACCTTTTCAGACTCTGAAGAAGGTGAAACTGCGAAAACGTCAGCTGTTGTGATTTAATAAATGGTGTAATAACAATTTTGTGTTCAAACACCAAGAAAGCGGTGAATTACTGACCAATACTGAGGTTAAAACAAAGTCGGTCCTGGGATTTTCACAGAGTGTTTTTAGTTCAAAAAAATTTTCAAGAAAAATCAAGAAATTTTAGTTTAATCTAAAATTTTAACGATCTAGAGAGTACGGCAAGTTTTAGCTGTCTGAACTAACAGCACTTACTGTTTTGTTGCCATCTTCCATCCAAATATAGTAGTACTTTCTCTCCTCTCCGCTTGAGTCGCGCGAAATGCCATCGATTGTCGGAAATTCCGTGCCCCCATTTGAATCTCTGAATATCATTTTCAAGAAAAGATTTGTCTTTATAAGTGATGAGAGCAACATACGTGTTCACCAGCGTTATGCCTCAATAGGACCTCTAACGATGCATCTTTGAGCGAAACCCGCAGTTCGTTTTTGGGATCCGAGTTCGACTTAGTGCTCAGCAACACTCCATTAGTGTACTCGGTCTGAGAGTTTATAAAGTTAGAAATTTTTTAAAAAGAGAGGTTATCTACAATATATATGAGGATAGCCCATACAATTTCAATGTTATTCTAGCAACAAAGCAACACACTGAAAGAAACCATGAAAATTCCAACGAACGCCACAAATCCCTTCAAGTATTTGTTTGTTTCCACGCGAACGCAGTCCACTACTGATTATTGTAGAAAATTTATTGATTTAGCCTTCTTAATTTAGATATTTCAAAGTATTCCAAATTTGAAAGGACCAGACAGCAGAAGAGTGGGAAAGATTCCTCTGGTATCACGAAAAAGATTTATGAGATTTATGGACAAGAAAGAAGGAAAAGTTGAACGCTTATGAAGCAAGGTGTACGACCATATGTTCAGATGGAAAGTTTTATCTGACCTTTGTGACTCAAAAGATTCTAGTATGACCCAATTTATTTACAGCCGCCGTCAGATGAAGCAGAAAAGAGCCCCCTCAATTGGAATTTGTCCATACTATAACTGCCTTCAGGTGGTACTGAATTGTTAAATAAGCAAGCTTAAAAATTGAGAACCAAAAATTCCACAAGCTTACAATAAGATCGAAATCATGTGAAACTTGCAGGCAGTCAAAAAGGAAATGTGGAAAATCTTGAAGAACGCGAACATCATGGGAGACGTTTTGTTAAAGAAAACTTCTTGAAAACTAGAAGAAAAGCTCACTTCATGCATGAATAAAATATGAATTATGGATCTTCAGCAAAAATTAGAGCTTTAATACTCTTACTGGATCATAAAATTACTTTCCCTTCTAACGCAAACATGGAACTTTCTTCTCCAATGTCTTCCTCTATCTCTCATAGAAGTACAGAAAAATAGAAACTTTTTCGAAAGTGCTAAAAGTGCTTCGCTCCTTTTCCCTGTACCAGATTATGATTTTTCACAACCTTTACTAGATTAATCCTTCCAACGGTTTACCCCCTCATCGTGGCTGGGAGGTGTTCCTGAGTGTCGGGCTGCGATGTACAGCAAGTGACTCATTCTCCCAGCAGGGTCTCCCAAGTTGAGCTTCACTACTTTGGACAAACCTTAAATCTGATTTCAATCGTTTCGGCTTCAGATTCGAAGGGATACGAGAGGAGATGAAGAATCCGCTCGCCGGTCATCTGGATAACTGTAGGTTCTAAATTGTGAACAAATTTATCACGAACAGAAAATATTTTTAACGACTTGCCACTTTTCGTTATTTCCAATGGCTTATGAGGTTAAAGAAAGCATAAAGCGGCTTACTGTATTATTGTAACCTCTATTCCTCTGATGAAACCCCATTTGTTTCACTGTACAAATGTCGAGAGTAGTGCGTATCTGTGATGAATTTTTCTCACGAGTTTCAACATAAAGTTGATAATTCTTCCCAAAGTTGTCAAATTACCTAACAAATAAAACTATCTTCGAAATACAGCCGGGTGTTCACACATAATGGACGACATGAGTCATATATAGCTCACACCCCGCACATAGCCTTGCAACTGCATGGGTTAAAGATGCCGAGCAATATATGTGTTGCAATTGGTTCGACCGAATCAATCAAGGTTCCCACCCCTAAGGCAATTGGTAAATATGTGGCAGATTTTTCTGGAAAAGCTCCCTACGACCGTAAAAGCAAAACGAATACTCCCGTTGTAAAGACTTAGAACGATCTAGTATAGCCATGCATCTATCCCAAGACCGAAGACTTTTTTAACTTTACACGACTCATTTTCCACATCTGTGCGGATCGCAGCACTTTCCGTACTCGCTTCGTTTCCTCGCATCCATCATCCATAAAGGTCTTCTAACACTTTACGTGTGGCTTTGGCTGCCGTTTGAAGATTCCCTTATCGTCATAAATGCCGTTGAATGCTGGACTAGGCTATTGTTCCTTTTTGGAATTCTGAGATAGAAAAGTTACGGCGTTCCCACTTGGATTACGAAGGTTGAATTTTTCCCAAACAAGTCCTGTACCAATGTGCCGACCCTAGAAGGGTGACGGACTTGATGGACTCGGATGGCGATCGAAGCAAAATCGTGTTCGCGATGATCGGCGTCACTAACACTGTGCCACCATCTCCCACTGCACTTCTGTTCCAAGATTATAGAATCAACTATCTCGATCAGCATTCAAAAACGCAATACATTAAGTATATGGGAAAAATATAATATATTAATCTTAACTCTTTTTATTTACTGCCTTTTTCTTCTTAATGGCAGGGTACGTTGTAAAATATAACTCCGGACCCGGATGGTGTAGTGGTGAAGTGCGCTGCTCCACGGACAGGACAACAGCGCGTGTTCGTTCCCCACTGCATACACCTGTGGTCCGGAGTTTTGCAAATATCTCAGCACTTCATACGAATAATATATTAACTTCTATTAACCTTCCGACCTTCTATAAACCTCGGCACTCGGATCAAGTAATTTGTCGTATTATTGTTGAGCAAACGCGAGGTGTTACTTTTATTCTTCATTCACGAATAAGTTGACGTTTCGGCGGATTTCGCCTTCCTCAGAGACTGGAAAGGCTAAGTTGACAGCAATCTACTCAGCCAAACACCTCCATAACCAAACAGGGAAGACGCTAAACCAAGATTTCAATCACATTTAACATAGCTCTGCACACTCACCACTTTCTATGACTCCTCTACTGAGTATGTCGCGTGAAGACCAACCGCACAGAATTCACATGGAAACGTAATGTGCCACTCCCATTAGAATAGCAGTTTTATATACTGCCCAATATCACGCATGATAATAAAGCATTCTTCCCAGCGGTTCATTTTCGGATTTCTGGAATTAATCCAGAACGCCTCGAGAGTTTTGCGCGCTTGTGTTCTCGATCCTCGTGCAAAGATCGAATTTCACGTATACGTATACGAAATACGTATTTCACGTGACACATATTTCAAAATCCTCCCCGTTATGTCTCCGGGTCCTGTGCGTGCCTAGTGGGGTATTTGGTTTACGTTAGCAGCCTAGGTGTTCCTTTATGCGGACACAGAGGAGTCTGCCCGTTTCCCTAATGTATTCGTCTCCGCACGCCTTACAGGAGAACAGATAAACTATACCCAAGCTCATGCAATTATCGTTTTTACCATTGGGGCAAATTATGCAATTTTGTGTTGCACATAGACGGTCATACAGGCGGTTACGAAGTAGCTGGCGCTTAAGATTACTCCGTGGCACTTTAACTACGTTTACCGAATTCTCTAGACCCGCCCTTCTTAAGCAGCGTTTTATAGCTGTACTTACACCATTTGAGATGAAGGGTAGGATAAACGGAACCTTTCCATCGCTAGAGTTGTCGTTTGGGGGCCTAGGATTTTTCCTACACCTATCCCTAGCTACAGTTTTGTAGCTATTAGAAATGGCTATTTGCTGTGCCAAGTTCCGGGACTCCTCTCTCTGCTCTCTTCCAGTGCACACGTCGGTTGCTGTTCGAAACATGTTCCTTACATGTGCCCTTTTCGTTTGAGAAGGGTTAGAGGAGAGTTAATGAGCCAAGATGTTTCTTACTATTTGGCTTTCAGTACCACTTTGTAATGTAGCCATTTTTCTGACAGGTGAAATTGGACGTTCAGCAATGGAAGCCAGTTTCCTTTCGGTTTCTCTCGGCTGAACTTGATATACTCTGATTGTTCGTTCAACAACTCGAAACATTTGTCTATTTCTTCTTGTGTTGAGCAATGGACAAAACAGTCATCTATATATCTACGGTAGAGTAGCGGCCCGAGATCGGTCACCGGTGCTTCTACCTTAGACATAAACGCAATGGCAAGACTTGGTGCCAGTCGTTGTCCCATTGGCAACCCTCATATTTGAGCGTAGTACTTTCCGGACCATCTGAAGATTGAGCAACTCAAGCATTCTTTTAAGAGTTTCATAAAGTGCTTTATCATAAAGCCATACATTTCCTATTTCTCCTTCGTGTTGTATAAGCAGTTCGAATATGGCTTGCATTGCGGAGTCATTCGACACGTTTGTTTAAAGGGCGGTAACGTCGAATGACTCCATCACGTACGCGCTGCAGTGCTGCGCAGTACGCAGACGGTCCAGAAACATCTGGGTATTCGTGAGATGAGATGGAATGTGTTTCAGCAATTGGTTAAATATTAGGGTTAAAAGCCATGTTATCCTATCCGTTGGCCCGTCTACGTAGCTAATGATAGGTCTAACCTTAAACAATGGTGGATCGGTAGACGCAAGAACCTCGCTGGATACTCACTTATGGGCTTTTACAAGCAAGTGCAAGACGGAACAAGTTGGTAAGTCAACTTTTAGTTGAGAGATAACTGATGGTTTTAAATTAGCAGCTCTTGCCATTTTGACCCATTCGTGGTTCAATTTTCGGTAGTTACGTTTAAATTCCTTCTCAGATGAAGGGCGATAAGGTGAAGCATCTTCAAGATGCTTTTTCGTTGTCTCAACATCTAACTGATGGGAATTACGACAAACTCTCCAACTTTATCATCTTATGTTTTTCAACCTTATCAGCTCTTTTACCTCTTGCATACCACGTTTTTGCACTTCAGTGAGGATTGAGCTGTATCTTTTCGCGCGATAGTGATTAAGGACTTTGAGAGTTTCATTCGTAAACATCCGAAACTTAACATCAACTTCATTATTAGGGTCTTGTTGTCTAAAGAATGGCTGAGGAAATGGTGCTATTGGTAGAGCCCCCACTTGGTGTTGTTCACACCTATTTCGCGCTTCATCTCTAGCTTTTTTGCGGAGTCTATCTTGAAGTTCATGTAAACCACATGCGACCCTACGCAAGGTTATCTTAGAAATGGGTTCAGATGGTGAGAAACTCGGCCCCAATTCTAATAACGAGCGCGCACCGTCAGGAAGAGTCATGTCTCCTAACACGGTTAGTCTTGAGGTTTCTTTCACATTACTTATCCTACTGTGAACCTGTTTGGTGTTCGTTAGCGATGTTTCTGTGCGCTATTAAAGCTGTGTTATGCGATTTACTCAAAAGGTCTTCGGATTTTCTCTGCAAAGTTACTTTCGAATCAGACCTAATAGAGTTGCAAACCAACACTGAGCTACCCACTATTCTCCTCCAGAGTCGGTCCTCCAAATACTGAGCACAAAAGTTTTCCTTCGTTTCGCACTTTTCCCACTTGGCGGACATACTGTTTTGTCGGCTTCGTAGACAGGTGCGTAGTATTCGCAATTCGATGTCTAGTACTCGGTGGCTATACTCTGGTAGTCCGCAAACGTCGTGCAGCCGTCTACGTTTGATGAAGTTCGGAATGGCTCGATGTTTTAGACAGCGGCGGAGAAAGTGTATTGACTGTCGAGCTAAGACGATCTTTTGTCTCAGTGACAGCGCTTCTTTTACATGTCGGAAGTATCTTGCTGGTACATCTAGCAGTAACTCCCACGACCGACTTTCTATTAACCTCGGGATTGATCAAGTAATTCTTTGTATTCTTGTTGAGCAAACGCGAATTGTTACTTTTATTCTCTATTCACGAATAAACTGACGTTTCGGCGGATTTCGCCTTCCTCGGAGATTGGAAAGGTTAAGTTGACAGCAATCTACTCGGCCAAGCACCTCCATAACCGAACAAAGAAAACGTTAAACCAAGATTTCAATCACATTGAACACAGTTTTGCACACCCACCGCTTTCTATGAGTTTCCACTGAGTATGTCGCGTGAAGACCAACCGCACAGAATTCACACGGAAGCGTAATGTGTCCCTCCCATCAGAATAGCAGTCTTATTGTACTGCCCAATATCACGCGTGATAACGAGGCATTCTTTCCTGCGGTTTATTTTTGTATTATTTAAAAAAAAACACCTAGCCGGCAAACGTCTACCAAATACCCACTCGGCACGCATAGGACCCAGAGACACAACGAGGAGGACTTTGAATTACATGTCACGATCCTCGCACAAAAATCTAGAACACAAGCGTGCAAAACTCTCGAGTCGTTCTGGATTAATTCCGGAAATCTGAAAATAAACCACAGGGGAGAATGCCTCATTATCACGAGTGTTATTGGGCAGTATATAAGACTGTTATTTTGATTGAAGGAGCACATTACGCTTCCATGTGAATTCTGTGCGGCTAGTCTTCACGCGACATAATCAGTGGAAACATAGAAAGCGGTGGGTGTGCAGAGCTGTGTTCAATGTGATTGAAATCTTGGTTTAGCGTTTTCTTTGTTTGGTTATGGAGGTGTTTGGCCAAATAGATTGCTGTAAACTTGAGCTTTCCAGGCTCTGAGGAAGGCGAAGTCCACCGAAACGTCAGCTTATTCGTGAATAAAGAATAGAAGTAACACCTTGCGTTTGCTCAACAAGATTACGAATTATATATTAAGTATATGAGTAAAATATACGACAGTATATTAAGTTAGATCATTCAAATAAATATGGAAAATTAAGAGCTAAAAAATGAACTGACGCACCTATGTTACAAGTGGGACCCTCTTTATTGGTGGCGGCACAATCGCAGGTGAACGTATTCTCTAACGGCTCACAATGGCCAAAATTATAGCAGGGATTTTTCGCACAAGGGCTCACAGCTGGTGTGGGAGGACATCCAATAGATATTCCTGAATTTCTTGGCAATAGGATGAATCGAGGAGTTCTGACATATCATTCAACACCCACCGGTGGTGTTGGAGTGCTCGAAAACGCTGGCTATTCGAGCGCTGATCCCATTGACCCGCAGATTCCTTAAGCACCCAATGAAACCTTTTCGTAAAGAAATCGACCAAATGGAAGGCGGATAAGGAACTGTAGTGTTCGGCACCCAGCCAAGATATATGGGATCGTCTGAAGCGGTAAACTTAAAAAGATAAAGATATTTCGCAACGAATTACATGAAATCTAGCAGTTCAGAGCAACTGGACTCGTACCGAAAAAGTTTTTTTGTAGAAATTTGACAGTTTAACTTTTACTTCTTAGGATACACGTTAAAACTATCAGTGTAACAAAACACTGGCTACAAAAAAACAAAGTTCGACCGAAATGTGATAACAGGATGTCTCCCTTTTATTTCTAAACAGTGAAATCAAAGACATCTTTAAAATATATTTGGAAAATCGACATAACTAACCAACAATTAGGTTAGATGACACCCCAGGTGTATTGAAGTCAGTTTTCATGCTGTCAACGATCACGCTCCCAGTTCTACCGATACGCTCCAGATGTACAGAATGCCAGTTAGCGTCGTCAGTAACGCGATGAGCTGTTGTCTGAAAACAACCATTGTTATTATTATTATTATTTTTTATTATTACTGCTTATCTGAGGTCTGCAGGGGCGCGCGTAGCGCATTGGCCGGAGCCGTCTTGCAGTGCACGTGGGATCGATAGTTGAGCCCTAGACCCACCAAGCCCTCCATCTCTCCGGGGTCAAGAACTTGGTTCGAGACTTGTCTGGGAGAATAGCAGCACTGGCTTGATACGTCGGTAGGCCACAGCGAGTCATTGTGAAGGCCAGATATGAATTCAGTCTGCTCCAACGATGCTTTATGAAGTCGAATGCATGACATATCTCTCATAGATAGATCGAGGCCGAGAGCTTTATCATTTATCCTTTATATGAGATCTGTATAGCAAATTTGGCAAAAGCAGAGGTTCTCCCACTGGATAAAAAGACTTTTAAAGAGCCAAAAAGCCAATGATGATGGTAATTCATTAAAAAAATAAGCAGTAACCTAGACAGTGCATCCTATAGAAATACTCCGCGCCTGGCGAACTACTCATTATCGAAAACTAGAATTATACCTGTCATGCGCTGAAGCAGTGCTGCAGCTAGTCTCACCTGCAATCTAACAGCACCACTTCCCAGATTGATGATCATGTGGAGATGACCGTCAATGAGTTCGAATGCAACGTAGTCCGTCATCTCTCCACCCATATTGCCGTGAAACAGAATGAGACCATCTCTTTGATATGTACGAAAATGGAATGCTGAAAGTAATTACTTTGTTTTATATTAGATATCAACATTCTACAACGATATTAACATTGACGTCAAAAGAGGAGTTAGGCAAGACGATACCATTTCGCCGAAATTATTTACCGCCACCCTCCAGAACGTCATGCGAACATTGGAATGGGATAATATGGGAGTGAAAATCGATGGTCGGCAGTTACACCATCTTCGCTTTGCTGATGACATCGTCCTTATAACACGAAACATTAGCCAGGCGTAACATATGCTTGACGACTTTGATAAAGTCTGTGGAAAGATTGGTCTTCGACTAAATCTCACAGAAACGATGTTCATTAAGAATGGATTGCTTATGTATGCCCCATTCACGCTCAACGGAAAGAATACCTCCGAATGCTCCAGTTATGTCTATCTAGGTCGGAAAATCAACATGATGAACGACTCAGCTCTAGAGTTAAGCAGAACGAAGCGCGCGGCTTGAGTAGCTTTCAAGACCATCGAGTATGCAGCGATGAGAACAAAGAGCATCCAACTCCATGCCCACCTCTTTTAGTCAACGGTACTTACTGCTTTAACGCATGCACCAGAGACCTGGTTACTGCGTAAACACGATAAAGGATCATTCAGCGTCATTGAACGAGTAGTCGAAAGGACGACGCTGGGAGTATCCCGTGTCACGCAAGTAAGGGATGGAATCTGAAGCTCCGACTTGCGTCAACGATGAAAAACCAAAGACACCGTTCTGTACGCCAAACGGGTGAATTGGACACGTAATTTAAGTGAATGACAACCGATGGAGATGAGCCGTTAGCGACTGGATTCCTCGGAGTGTCAAACGTACTGCAAGAAGACCACCGACCCGATGGTCAGAGTTCTTCACGAAGAGCCTAGAAGAAAGGTGTAATGCTCGACGAGACCCTAAGGCGAGCAGAACCCACTGGGCTACTCTTGCACGCGACGAGAAAAAATGGAAGATTTACTGGCGACCGTTCGAGTCGCTCGACGATCAACGGGACTACATGTGATACAGGTGATACTAAATTGGCCCAACATACCCAGGTGCCACTGCACTCTCGCACCAGGCAAACCAGCCTTCTCATCGCCAGGGGTTGAGGGATTGGCAGCAGAATTATCTGGAGCAAACTCAATCCCTTTGATCTATCTAGCACGGCTATGCCATTATTCCAGAAAAAAATCGACTTGATAATCATTCAGTGACGTTCGTGGCAAAGACGAAAAGTTCTCAAGCCGCGAACGAAGCAACACGGGAAAGGTTCAATAACCACTGTGGACGATGGATGCGTGGAAACAAATCGAATGTAAGAAGTTCTGAGGTCCAAACAGTGCCATATCTATCGTGTCGAATCATTTAGTAGTGAATAATAAATGCACTTAATGATGATCCGCTGATAAAGAAGATGTTCTTACTCTTTTAGGGGGTGGTAACAGAATTGTTCCGGTATCATCTAATTCTGTGCCCTTCCTGCACATTTTGCCAGGAAGTCAAATATTATCTTTTCGAAATGCTTGACCTTCTTCGACAAATAATTGTGAATATTAAAGCAACGTAAATGAACACAATTCCTGAAAAAGAAAGGAAGACGAAAGGAAATGCTCACACAGACTGCCACTGGCCAGTGCACCCCACTTGGGTAAAGCCAGGAATGACGACGAAGCGGAATGGAAAGAAAGCACATCAGGTGGTTGCGCTGGACCCTTGCATGAAAACGCCAGTTCGCCACCTAGAGAGCAATTGTATTTTAAAAAAAAGAAGCGCTCAAAGAAACAGCCTAGACTCACCAGTCTTGATGATACTCCCACCAAACCCTTGATCAGCCAGCTTGACAAAAAGAATTCTCTGGGCATCAGCGTCGTATTTCACCTAGACTTTCAACTGCTTCAGAACTATTATATAGGCAAAGCAAAGGAAAAGAGCTTCTAAAAAAATCTCCTTCGCACCGATTACTCATAGTTTAGTTTATTTATTAAAGAGAACTATTAGAAGCTAATGGGATCCCTTCACACACGGAATTTCTAGCTGTCTAATTATGTATATGGATCCGGGTTCTCCAAGGAGGTTCAACGCCAACGAAAAGCGACTACATACTGGCTCTACAGTAGGCATTTGAAGGAGTCTCTTGTTCCTGTCCTGCCTGCTTGCTTGTAGCTTGCAAAGGTGAATTCATCCCTCATACATAGATGTCGAAGATACCCGGAAATCATCCTACACATGGGCTTAGAAAAAACGTATGATGAAGTAGCTAGAAAGGCAATAGGAACTCCCTTTTACCGAAATATTTCACGTCTATAGTGGGAAACCTCAAAAATATAAACGAGCGTACATTCGGCTCTCACTGTATATCGAAATCTGGCACCTATGGGACCCACTCAACTATCGGATAGTCTAGAGTACGACAAACATGTGACAGGCTACCTGTTTCATACATCCACGAAAGGCATTCCTTGTGACGCCGGCGTTGTGGCTCTCCAATGGAACCGATCCCAGATACGCGAATGAATGCCCGATCCAATCGAGTTCGGGAGCGTACTGTCGAATTTCGTCTTTCCGCCCATCGACAGTGAGTGTTAACTGTAAATTACACATAGAGGAAAATTTGAAATTTCCTCGGAAAGTTGAATTTCTCAACAGCTCGAACAAAGGATGGAAAATATCTTTGCAGATGTGAGGAACAAAAACGAACTGCGGGAACATTAGAAGTAGGCACCACTCTCAACTAAGACTCAATCATTCCAAACAAAAATCCAGAACTCGATATGAAACTAGGCACTACAAACAAAATATCCGGTTGCGAAAAAAGGAAATAAAAGCAAAAGTCGGCACATTCCAACACAGCCTATGTCTCGTTTACACCTACACACAATCCGTAAAGGGTTCTCTTAACGAGAATATTAAGAACAACAACTATTTGACAAAATATTGCGCTTGATATAAGCCGATACAAAAAAATCTCGTATTTTCCATTATAGCAAAATATTTGCAAAAATACCTCTCTTATTACTTTTTGCTAGCAACGTTTTCTTCATATAAAAAACGTACACCTACATTCTTCTGCAGATGTAAAAGAGACAGGAAATGGACAGAAAATGCAGGATCTAAGGAGCTGGAAAAAAACCAGCCAGAGAAGATCGGGACAGGAGAAGAATGCAGACAAACGAAAAAATGGAGCCCGATTAGGAAATACTTACATGAACTGCGGAAATCCTGTCAGAGTGCTGAAGTGAAAAAATAAAAAGTAAAAAAAGTGAAATCTGAAAATGGTGCATGTAGGCAGAAGTCGCATTTGTTATTGATAAAACTTCGATATCTTTGTAGCTTTTCCCTTCAAGAACCCAGTTCTTCAAATTTTAAATTCATAAGCATAAATCAAATAATTAAACGTTCGGCGTTGATGAAACCCTTTGGGAACCACCATGCATTGAACTCCATTCACAGCATCGTGGTGGTGATTCAATGCACATTTGGCCGAACCCATGACCTCAGAAAGCATGCCAATCTACCAAATCAATGGCTTTTCAGCCTCCTTTACGTAGAGCACAAATTTTCCAATCTCACAGCGATGGAAGACTTTACTCCATGTGTACTGAGAGAACTTCTAACCACTCTGTTACTTGTCTCGAGGATTGGTGCTGCACGTTATATTGTTAAGAAGTTGAGAGTATATCTAAGCCATTAACATTGTGCTGTATCTATAACGTTTTCTGGAAAAAAGATAAGCGACCATGCTACGAACGAACCCCAGATGTCGAGACGTTAACCGAATGAACGTCTTTATCAACGTCGTGTAAAGTTGACTCTTTCGTTACTCATCAAGTGACAATAGTGCAAGTATTCTGCTGTTGCCGTGAAGCCTTCATCTCACATTCAAATTCTGTGAAAAAATGTTTAACGTTTCGTTTCCTGCCTTCTATAATTTTCATGGCAGGTTACTAAGCGAAATACAACCACAACGTTGCTGAGATATTTGCAAAACTCTGGACCGCAGGTGTCTATGGTGGGGAACGAACGCGCTATTATCCTTTCCGGGGAGTAACGCGTTCACCACCACACCATGCGGGCCCTTTGTTTCGCACGTCTCTCAGCTATTTCTATCGATCTTTTTGCCACAGCAATCTGTGAAGAAAATTGGTAGACTAACTCTTTTGACGCGAGGTTGGACAGCGGCAAATCCCCCTCAGCTTTCATGCACGAATGAGGTCGTAAGTGGCCTACTTCTCGTACTTCTGCATTTCCATACAATTTGGGTGCTCATATGCTATTAGGCTTGCAGTATCTATACTCAAGGCAATTTTCACGGCAGTCTGATGAGCATCATTCATAAAGAATACCTTTTAAACATCGTTACCCAAACTAAGGTGTTTTATTTCGCTTCTAATTCTTCAACGATGCGGTCTGCTTTGGATCTATGAAGCGGAACCTTTTAAGAACTGCCATTGCCTAAGGTTCCAAATAAGACTGTGAGCACAAGGTAAAGAGCGACGTCGAAAAAATAGATATTTATGGTGCCAAAAACTCTTTTTGAAAAGTGCTATTCAAGGGGTCTCTCATAAATTGCACAGTTCTTCAGGAATTCTTCTATGAATGCAATGAGAAGCAAAATCCAACATATCTTGTTGAATCCACATGAGAGCTAACTCTTCGAATAGTGCTATCAAATATTCCCCTGCTATCCGAAAATATACCCTTCAAATGTCGATGAGTTTGTTCGCCTTGATGCTTTTTTTCTCGAAAAACTAGCTGTCACCAAGTGCTTCTATTGAATAGAAGGACCACACCCTACCTGTTTCAATACGCTTTGTTCACATAATCCATCTTTTCGTGCACTGTGCGGATCCTTATCACTTTTCTCACTCCATTCATTCTCTCGCACTCAACTTTTACGAAGGTCTACGGATAGTTCCCAGGATCGACTTTCTATTAACCTCGGCATTGGAATATGAATGTGCCGTTTTCTTGTTCAGCAATCTCGAGGTTTTTAAACAGCATACATTTACTTCCATAAAAACACAATACAATACAACGCTAGCTGACGTTTCGGCAGTATCGCCTTCTTCAGAGCCTGGAAGGGTATACTGATATACAATCTACTAGGCCAAACGCTTCAATAACACTTACAAAAAGACGAAAGACTCTTTGGTAATTACACGATCAACAACTTCGCGAAAAACCCACCGCTTTGTCGTGACTTCCAATGAGGAAGTTTAGAACAGCTGATTATAGTCGCATGTGGTTGACGACTGCACCATTCCACATCAAAAATCGATGCGAACGTACGGGATCAGGTCGCGTATGACCTCCGGGCATTCGTCCCTGCTATTCATTGTAGGGTTTTTGGCATTGATCCAAAAAGCCTCTAGGAGTTTTCGCGCTGGTGTTTTGGATTCCTGTGCAAGGATGTTGACTTTCACTTCAAAATCGTCTCCGCTATGCTTTTGTATCCTATGCGTGCCTAGTGGGGTGCTTCGTCTTAGTTTTCGTTTGCCATCTAGGTGTTCTTTTATACGAATACACGAAGGTCTGCCCGTTTCGCCAATATATTCATCTCCGCAATTATTACAAGAGAACAGGTATATCGTACCTGAACTCATTCAATCACCGTCCCTGCAGCAAGGGCAAATTACGCAATTTGTTTCGTATTTTTGTTGAGCAAACGCGAGGTGTTACTATTCTTTGTTCACGATTAAGCTGACGTTTCGGCGGATTTCGCCTTCTTCAGAGCCTGGAAAGGTCAAG